AAATGAACCACCAAGAAGTACAGAAGGCAATACAAGAAATATTGCATTAAAAAGGCTACAGCAACTGGAAAATCGTTTCGAGAAAAATAAGAAGTTAAGGACAGAATACAATAAAGCCATAAATGAATACATTACCTTGAAATACATGGAAGAAGTATCGGAAATTGAAAGGAGTGCACCATCTGTTTACCTTCCACATCACGCCGTTCTAAAAGAAACCAGTGACACAACGAAAACTAGAGTAGTGTTTAATGCATCTTCTCCTGACACTAACAATATCTCCTTGAATGATGATTTATTGGTTGGGCCGCAACTTCAAGAAGATTTGAGATCTTTACTTATGAGATGGCGACTACATAAAATTGGCTTTATAGCTGATATTCAAAAAATGTATTTACAAGTTTTGGTGACCAAGAGGGACTCAGATTATCAACGAATTGTATGGCGCGATCACCCTAAGTTACCTATCAAGGATTATCGATTACTTAGACTTACTTTCGGAACTGCTTCGGCTCCATATCTTGCTGTAAGAACCCTCCAACAAGTGGCAGAAGATGAAGGCAAGACTCAGCCAGAAGCAGCTATAACAATCAAAAGAGATTTTTTCATGGATGATTTGATGTCAGGTCAAGATACTGAAACAAAGGCAATAGATGTCGCGAAATCCATCTCGGCTATATTGGAAAAAGGGGGATTTTGTCTGAAGAAATGGTCGTCAAATAGTACAAAATTCCAGAAAGAGTTCAATGCTTCAAGTACAGACTTAAATGTAAAGATCGATATGAATATTGGTGTCAGAACATTAGGATTAACCTGGAATTTAGGTGAGGATAAATTGAAATATTTTTCCACGTTACCTCCGCCACCTAAAGAAGTTACGAAAAGATCTATTTTAGCAGAGATTCATCACGTATTTGATCCGCTTGGCTGGATGACACCCGCACTCCTACCAGCAAAACTTATCTTACAAAAATTGTGGCTAAAGGGTGTTACCTGGGATGAGACACTGGAACCTGAAACAAATGAAGAATGGTTAAAAATAAGAAATGATTTGAATAATTTACATAAAATTGAAATAAACAGGTGGCTGAACACTTCATGTAATACATTACCTAATGCAACTGTACATGGTTTCTGCGATGCGTCAACTAAGGCTTATGGTGCCGTTGCTTACCTCAGAGTACAAATGGAAGATGGCCAATACAAGATAGGGTTGATTGCAGCTCGATCTCGCGTTGCACCCATAAAACCGGTATCGTTGCCGAGGCTTGAGCTATGTGGAGCTGTTTTACTGTCAAAACTTCTGAAACAAATAAGTGAAGCCACAAGTATTCCTCTAGCACAAGTTTTTGCTTGGACAGACTCCACAATCGTACTATCCTGGCTCCGAGGTGATCCTGGTAGGTGGAAAACGTTCGTAAGAAACCGAGTAGTTACTGTTCTTGATAATATTGGACTAAAATGGTTTCATGTCAAGTCACAAGACAATCCCGCTGACCTTGCCTCCCGTGGGATGCAGTTGACGGACTTGGAGAGATGTACACTGTGGTGGAACGGACCACATTGGTTGGGTTTCGATGAAATAGAGATGCATCAAATCAAAGAACCGCTACTAGACCTAGAAGAAAATGAAAACATTCATGTTAATTTAAATGTTGAAGAAAAGGAAACAATGGAAATTACATTACTTACCCAGTTTGAAAATTTTGAAACGCTTAATGAATTAATAAAAACTATATCGTATTGTAAAAGATTTTTAAAATATAGAAGGAATTCTGAAATACAACCAAACTTAATGATTACAACGGAAGAATTAAATGAAGCATTAAAAAACTGTGTCAGAATAGTACAAGCCAAGGAATTTGAAAGAGAAATAGAAGATTTAAAAAATAACAAACAAATACTTAGAAAAAGCAAAACAAAAAACCTGAACCCATTTCTAGATAAAGAAAATATTTTGAGGGTGGGCGGTCGTTTACGACATGCTGAAATGACTTACAGTAGTAAACACCCTATGATAATAGGTAATAAAAATCCATTGGCTAAGTTGATTGCAACAGATGCACATAAAAAAACCTTACATGGTGGTGTGCAATTGACCATGAACTATGTGAGATCAAAATTTTGGATTATTAGATTAAAAACCTTAGTATCGAGCACAATTCATAAATGCCTTATATGTGCCAGACAAAAGGCTATCTCTAAAAACCAAAAAATGGGCGACTTACCAAAGGCTCGAGTCACTCCTGCTCGTGCATTTCTGAATTCAGGTGTTGATTTTGCTGGTCCACTTCAAATTTTGATATCAAAGGGACGTGGCCATAGATGTACCAAAGGATACATATGTATCTTCGTATGTATGGCAACTAAGGCCATACATTTAGAATTAGTTGGAGATCTAAGCACGGATGCTTTTATTGGTGCGTTTAAGCGATTTGTAGCCAGGAGAGGTCGTTGTGCTAATCTATGGAGTGATCGGGGAACTAACTTTGTAGGCGCAAGTAAGGAAATCATAGATATGTGGAACAAAACTAAATTAGAAGTACCGGCAAACTTAGTAAATTTATTAGCTGAGGATGGAACACAGTGGCATTTTAACCCGCCATACAGTCCGAATTTTGGTGGTCTGTGGGAAGCGGGAGTTAAATCCATAAAATACCACCTTAAACGGATACTTACGTCAAAGTTAACTTTCGAAGAAATGTGCACCACCCTATGCCAAATAGAGGCATGTTTAAATTCCAGACCATTGTGTCCAATTGATAACTCAGAATCAGATAATTTAATTATACTTACCCCAGGACATTTTCTTATCGGCGAAGCTCCAATTACTGTTCCTGAACCTAATTTACAAGACATAAACTTGAATCGTTTGTCAAGATGGCAGCACACTCAAAGACTTGTACAAGATTTTTGGCATATATGGCGTACAGAGTACTTGACACGTTTACAAGAAAGACCCAAGTGGCTTAACTCGAAGAAAGAGTTTCAAGTAGGAGATGTTGTTCTCGTAAAAGAGGACCACCTTCCTCCTGGTAAATGGGCCTTGGGTCGTATCACTGAGAAACATCCTGGTGCCGATGAAATATGCCGAGTCTACAGTTTAAAATATCACGGAAAAATAATAAAACGACCTGCAAATAGATTATGTGAACTTCCTATTAACGATAAATAAGTTTATTGTGTAGGTGAAAATTGTAAGGTATATATTATAAATATATATATGAGTTTATATTTTTCGGAGAGTTTAAGTTTATTAAATTCGTAAATAGATAAATATATTCTATAAGTTCACGAATTGTTATGCATTTGTGTTTAGTGTGTCACCAACTTAATGTTTGTTTAGGTTTTTGCATGTTGTTTACGACGTAGAAATAAACAAGTCGTACAGTCAGAAGATGTCATTATTCCAATACATGAATATAAAAATATTGAAGGTAATTGAATATATGTTGTGATGGTTTCTTATTTTGTAATAATCGTGTTTGTTTGAACTTTATAATAATTTTAATAGAACAATTATTGTTTGCAATGTGTAAGGAGCATTATTATATGTTAAAACTGAGTTTTGGCGGGCGGTATGTTTGTGTAATTATTATATTTACGTTCGCCCGTGCCTATTCCTAATGCATTTCCTTTATAAGTGTATGAAAGGATCTCCGCAGTTAGTATAAAATAAACAAGCAAGGTGTAGACACGTATTTTTATTTCTTCAATAAACAATTTATCCAGGACCTTAATATATAGAACATACTTTTTAAAACGACACTTGTCAGCACTATGATTACGATAACCGCACACGCTACACTTTAAATCGCTAGACATCTTGAAAACCGCCGCCTGCGATACTCCGTCGACCGCCATCGCCGAAGTAGTGCTGCCGATCGGTCGCGCTGCCGCCGCCGCCGCGTCGCGAGCGCAGCGTACACTCTCAGCCAACTCGACCGCCTTGCCAAGAGTTAAATCTTGCAAATTCTGTGCAAACAGTTTATCCTTTTCGTGTCCGGCGCACATGCCCATGACAAATTTATCTAATATTGCTTCATCTAAATTTTTGAAGCCGCAGTGTGCCGCCAGTCCCCTTATCCTGGCCGCCCACGTTGTGTGACTTTCACCTGGCTGTTGTACCGCCGAATAAAAATGAAATCGTTCTGCGAAACCACACCTTTTTGGAATAAAGTGGTCGTCCAATAATTGCATGATCTCAATATATTCCACTTCTTCGATTTTCTTCGGTAGTGCCAGGTTACTAACTAACTTATAGGTTGGTTCTGCAAAAGCGATAAGCAAAATTGCCCTTCGCTTGACCTTGCTTTTGTCCGTTACGTCGTCCATGTTATTAGCAATAAACCACTGTGTTATTCTGGATTTGTAAGTGCTCCATTCTTGAGAAGTGTGGTCAAAAGATGTCAAAAATCCATATAACACGCCTGTAGACATTTTTAACGAGGATTCGGTCGTCGCCATTGTTTTATAGCAAGACGAGAGGTGACACAACCAATAAACACCGTAGTTAGTTTCACACTGCTTTATTATCAAGAGGCGCGGTCGCAGCCGCGCTTGATTCTTATTTTACCCTCAACCTTAATAATAACATATGCAACAATGGGCAATATATACTACATTATTTATATATTTACAGTTTAAGATTTTAATGCATACAATCTCTATTCCATTATTATTGATGTTTATATTACAGAGTTGTGCCTTAAGTGACATATGTATTAAAATAGCTACTCCACCATATGAATCAGACCTGTCTTTTCTAAATACATTGTAACCATTAACACGAAAGGAGTTTTCTGGCTCCAACCACGGTTCACTGACAATCAAAATGTGTATTTTATCTCGTGTCATTAGGTTTTCTAATTCTGTCAGTTTTGGCCTAATACTTTGTGCATTCCATTGGTAGATATTGACTATACTTTTTGTAATAGATTGACTAACCATTTATGTAATGATCGAAAAATTTATGCCATATGTCACTTTTCTTTAAATTTCTAACTACACATGATATTAATTCTTTCAATAATATTTGAAATATAAGCCTTAATTTTCTCTTCAAAGTTTTCTTCAGTGGCTAGTATTTCTTTGCATTTCTGTAATAATAATAATAATAGAACTGACCTATTCTTCTTTCTCAAATTTTCTTGTTCTTGTGAATTTTGTGTTGTTTCGTGGTTGACGTCCGTTTCCAATTCCATTTCTTGCTCTAAATAATACTTATTTTTATTTTTATTTGTTTTCTTTTTATGTATCTGCGTATTAATATCTCTGGAATTGTCCTCTACGTTATAATTTTCGGTCTCACTCGTATCCTCAGTAACTTGACGAATTTGTGTCTTTTGTAGTGCTTGTTTATACGTCAGTATTGGAGATGATTGTGCCGTTGTTTCTTTTATACTTTTGTCTTCTTGTGTTATTAATATCTTTCTTGGATTTTTCACGTTATTATATTTCATAAGAGCGTTTCGATATGAACAATTATCATTACACATAATACACCGTATCTCTTTTTCTTTCAAAAAAACGGGGCATGATTTATCTAGTGACATATGTGTACCTTTACAATTTAAACATTTAAAGTTTGTAGTTTCACAATTGTCATGTTCCGCGCCGCATTTTGGGCATAATTTTTTCTTTATGGGGCAGTATTTTAAAATATAACCGTATCTCCAACAGCCTGAGCATTGAGTGACAGGAAAGGTATATGGCTCAACTTTAAACCTTGTACCGTATCCATATACATACGGTGGTAAAGTAGGGCCTTTAAAGCAAACTCTTACCGTTTCGCTATCTATCCAAGTTCCGTCAATCTTCAAGCGACGAAGTCTTATTACAGATATAATTTCACAATCGCATTTAAGTTCTTCACTTAGTTCTTTTAAATCTGTTTCCAGATCCATTTGTCTTACTATTCCCTAACTTGAGTTTAATTCGTTATTCATTTGACATCTCAGACCCAATAGATTTAGTTCTTCACAATGTATAAGTTTTTCTGCATTTTCTCTGGTATCAAATTGTATTAACACTTTATATCCACTTTTGTATTTAATTTTTAATATGTTAGTAATCTTATTTGCTTTGAGTAGCTTTGCCATTGCAATTTGTTTTGGTAATAGTCGTTCTTTGGCAGTAATGCACACTTCAAATATATTTACTGTTTCTTTAGTATTAATATCCAGTGACGGCCGAGTGTTTAATGTGAAAAAATTACGCTGAACGCGCTTTGCTCGTCTTTTTACGGTAGTATATCCTTCTTCGTCTATTATTTCTTCACTATCATTTCTCATTCTTTTTTCGCGAATAACTTCGGATGTGATATCCGAATTACTCAAATTATTTCCCGTTAGATTTTGTTGTTCAAACTCCATCTCACCTTCACTTTCACTATGTATCGCAAAATAGCCACTATGCTCACTCATTATTTAATATAATAATAAGTGAGGGTAAACGTAGAAATTCATCGCGTTGTACGGACTTGCGTACGTGCGCTTGCTTCCCCGTGTCGCGCGTGAATGTCCAAAAGTCAGTGTTACTATTCTAATAAAATTAAAAGTATCGATGATTACACCCTCTTTACAATCGAGTAATTAAGTAATCGAGTAAATAAAAATTTAAAAACGAAACCAAATCAAACGATTTTCGTAAAGGTGATAGAGATATTCTGCGAAACGGCTATTCTGATAGCCTCACGCATCCTCGTGTGGGGGTTCAATCTGAAAGGGAAAATATGCAGCGCAGTAGATTCTTTACTCGGTCAGTCCTGACTTCAACTAGAGCAAGATTTTGAAACCAATCGAAACTTTAATAATTAGAGACCGTTTTTACTTTAAGTTTCTTTAGATTGTTAACTGATCAATTTACACTTTCATTAAATTACATTAAAATTAAATTTAAAACTGTGAAGAGTCATGTACCATCGTTATCTCACAATAATTCAAAACAATCTAGCAATAAATCAACTTAAAACACTAACATATTAACTTCCATAATACCCGAGTAAATATCTCTACCGCCACGGCCTCCATAGCCGATGAGTCATCACCAACTCTCTCACACAGACGCGCATTTACCATTGTAAACCACACATGTGCATCTCTCTTAGACTACACACGTGACGGTCTATACAGACCACGACCTCCGCTAGTATTACACGCCCACCGCACACCCACGGACTACTTGAGTTGCCCCAAGAGACCGACTTCCAACGGGCTACGGCTACGTATTAGTTACTAGTCTGGTCGACTTTCTACGGCTGGTAGAGTTCTTATTCGCATTCACATTACCAGTTAAACTAATTTATTATCATCAGACATTTCATTAAACTCCACTTCGACTTCGACTGGTACATGTCCCTCTGGCGTCTTACGTAAACGATCACTAACAGTTCAATGAAACTCATCAGACAAATTAGCTTTCTAAATCAAATTGGTAATCGTGGATTACATAGTAAAACAGTGTCGTATGCAATACTCTATAATTTCAGATGCTTCCATCCAGCACCTTGTGACAACCTCCATCCGGTCATTACAAAACAATCACGTGGTTGGGTGACCTCCATCCGGTACCCTTCCACAACACAACGCATCCACGGGTGACCTCCATCCGGTACCCATACACAATACTAATCGTCGTCTCTATGCGACGAACCAACAGCGATCGTTTACATCTCCTAGCTAATACCAGTAATTTTAACAGTGTTACTAATTCGATTGCCATGAATTCTTCACGATATTAATTACTTTATAAGGGAGCACTCGACTCCAGTATCAAAACAAAATGAAAACGACTAACCAAAATGCTGCAAAATACTAGCAAGGGTAGCAATGGTGCAGACGACCACACGTCGCTCACTAGCAATACCAGCAGACGAGCCATCAGGCTTGCTACCGTTGCATCTTCTTCAGCTACAGGCATCTTGAGAGTAGCGACCATCTGCTCCACAATTGAAGAACGTGACAGCAGCGTTCAGGTTACTGTTCTTCATATTAGGAACGCTTGGTTCTTCTTACGAAGGCTTCAGGTGATTCTTCTTGTATTTTATCAGGATCGAATTTGGGCAGATGCACATGAGACTCGACGACGGCCCAGTCATGACGTAGATGAGGGCGAGAAAGTTTTGATTTTGTTACTGCAATAAGATTCTCCATATCCATGACATCTATGTGTCCACTTGGTCGGTTACATCCCAACTTCTGATGTCGGAAAGTCATGCGGGACCGGCGGAAAGTTAGGTTGGTCATCATCCGCCATCTGACTAGTGTTCAAGATATTCTTTCGAAATAAGATCGCAGATAGATCACTATTCAGTTATTTAATCGAATTAAATAATTGTCTAATCGAAATAAATTAATAATAACGTGATGCAAAGGGATTGCGATACGAAACGCGGAGAGTTCTGCGCTTGCGTCCGCTCGATATGGCCGCACAACGTAAAGTGCCATCTTTGAACAAGCATAGACCACTCCCAAGCGATGACAGCCATCAATGTCATAACTTGACGTTTCGCAAAGCATCATAGATCTTGACAGATGACAGCTGCAGGTGACAGATGGCGTTTTGCACAATCGTAGCGCCTTCTCGCCGAGATATATGATAAGAAGGTTTAGTCAATATTAAACGATACAACCTCTGGGTGTATTTATTCCTATAATGTTAAGGTAATTTAAGTTATAGCATAAGCTAATTAAATGATTATGAAGGGTTGAATTTTAATTTCCTATGGTATGGTTCTTTTTAAGGTATTGCCTCGCTAAGGACGCTTAGGTGGCTCTCTGTATGGTATTGCCTCACTAAAGGGGGCTTATGTGGTTTTCTATTTGGTATTGCCTCGATGACAGGGGTATTAAATCTAAATTATTCACCTACCATACGTTTACGATAAAAATATATCAGAGAAAGACGGCGCTAGTTTACTCGGGATCTTCGGTCTCGCTTTGACCTCTTAAATACGTTGGGCAAGAGCGCGGCGCGCCTTAGAACGATTATAAACTTCGAAGGCGCCGTCTTGTCCGACACGATGCGAGTGATGTATGAATGTTTTTTACCTAGTTTGTAATGTAAATAAGTAAAACAGTAAATTTTATTAGTAACTATAATGTAATACATAGATGTTAAGAGTGGGGGGTGGCTTCGCCAAGTAGGGGTATAATATGTAATACGATAACAAACTGGTTATATACGGAGCCAAGAGCGAGCCACCCCAGCAAATGTAAGACGGGTCGATTTGAGCAATTTTTCAAAACATTCCGCTCTCAGCTTTTGCCGCGCGCCACTGTGCGCGTACACGACTCTCTTCTACCCAAACTGTGAGTACATCTCGTGCCTTCTGCACACCCCGAGCGCAGGCCCTGCTGCTTTTGTTTTTCTCAAAACATTAAGACAGTAGGACTTGGCTCACTTTCAACTCCTTGAGTCGGTGGATACCATACGGTGGCAACTAAGCCGGCTGAGCGATCTCGGTGCGCTCGCTAAGGCCCCTCAGGCTTTAGCAACACCGAAGACCCGATCCCAGTGCACTTGGGCCTTGTCCCAAGGGTGAAGGTTTGCCGCTAACTCCATTAGGGATAGCCGCATTTTCCGCGTCCCCCTTCCCCCCTCGCTACGGCGCGGGGTTGGTCCTTTTGCACACTCACCTTATCTCCCTCTAACCTACCAAGGTAGGTGTGACGGAGAGAAGTGCGAGTGAAATACAACTACTCCTCTCTCTCTCTTGCATTTAACGGTTTGCATTGCTGATATGTCGGATTTGCTCAAACAAAAAAAAACACTTATTCGATGAGCTACAGCGCGTTTTGCCAGATAGCCTCTTCCAAGCCGTCCTTCGCGCGGCGATGTCGACATCCCAGGCATCGCTGCCCCCCCTAACTTCCGCAATGGAGTGTGAAAGCACATCCATAAAGAGGACCGCTTCACAGCGATCCCCCCCCCTCCCGCCCTCCCTCGCCGTCGGAAGATGACCTTCTCAGGACGTCCGATTCCGACGAATCATCAACAAATTCATTTCATACGGTGAGAAGCCGCAAGAAGCGTCGTAAGCCACGCTCCCCAGAGCAAGTGCGGACGCTTCCTCGGACAACGTCACTCCCAAGCCCCGCACATCGGGCGGGGTGTCCTCGGTAAGCAATACCGCCGAGAAAACCTCCCTCGGCCCAAACCTTACCAGAAGCAATACTGGCAAGAAAGCCACTCGGGAAAATACTTCTAGTATTACTTCCTCCCACCCCGCTGCGTTCGCATAGCAAATGCGCTCCAATGCCGAGTAAACCCAAATTTCCGCCTTCCGTATTCATAGGGGACAAATCAAGATGGGCAGATATCTCGAATCTCTGCACATCAAATAAGATAAACTTCACCCATGCCAAAAACATGGGTATAGCTATCCGGGTGGAAACACCCACAAGTGAGGACTATAGAGCCCTCACTAGACTTCTAACCCACCACAAGGTATGTACCAACTCGTACAGTTTTGTCTAGTAATCATTTTACGCTACATTCATTAATTTAGGTCAATTTGTAGTTAGTTCGTCATCGGTAATCAATCACGCCGCGCGTACTCATATCATTATTTATTTATTTATTTAATTCTTCATGCACAAAAAAGTACATTGGCGGACTTAATGCCTTAGGCATTCTCTCCCAGTCAACCTTAGCGTGCTGTGGGGAAACCGATGGTGGCAAGGTGCACAATGGAACTAAAGAATAAAGATTTCTTTCCAAACAAGTAGTTACATAAAAACTTATAATACATAAAATCTATAACAAATACATATATATCAATATGCGTACATAATCTATATATACTATATACATACATATAATAAATATACGATAAAAGTATCAAATCGACGAATCCAGTTCTTTCGAAAAATAGCCACGTAACCTTTTCTTAAAAATTAATTTA